TAAAATACTCATTTTTTCTATCGGTTTTATTTAACGAAAATAGACAAATGTTTAGATTGAAAATAATTCAAAAATTTAGAGTTTAAATTAATAAAATTAAAAATTGAAGGTTTCTTTTGTTATAAGGCTCATATCTCAGGGTTTTTTTTTTTGGCCGTAATTTCTCAAAAAATCTTTGGGAACTAGTTAAAGTAGCTAAAAATTCAAAAATTCACTACCAAAAAATTAACTATTGTTTTATTTATTTATTTTTTTATACATCTTTTCGTAAAATATTAAAAAACAACTACAATAGTTTGTTCCCAAAACAACCCAAATCTTGTAACATAATAAATTATAAAATTTTAATTTTGTCAATTTAAACCCTAATGTTTTGAATTGTTTTCAATTTAAACCATCCACCTATTTTCGTTAAGTAAACTGACAAACAAAAATAATTATTTTAGTCATTAAACTCAATATAAGTGTATATATAATGTCTGAAATATAATTTTTTGTTGAATTTAATAACTATAATACTCATTTTTCGTTGGTTTTACTTAACTAAACTAGCTTATTGGCTTTTTTTTTTTTTTTGGAAAAAAAATGTGTAAAAAAATAAATAGATAATGTGATTCAAATAAGTTAATAAACTAATAAACTAACTTTTTTTCATATTCCCAAAGAGAAATCAATAATGCTATTTTAAAAGTTCAAGGTTTAGTTCTTTTAGTCATAATTTTTATATTTGTTAAATATTAATGGCATTTATATGAGACTCATTAAATATAACAAGTATGAGTGTGTTTTACCGAAATGATAAACAAAATATGGTTAACAATATTATTTGAAAAAAAAATTTAATTTATTAACAGATTGCGTTTTTCAATTTACAAGAATTATGGTTAGGTTAAAACTCATTTAAATTACTATAATTTATTGTTTTTTATAATTACATTACAACTTATTTGTTTCTCACCTAAAAAAAAATTACAACTCATTTGTCAATACTAAGGCCATCTCCAATCTTGCATAAGATGTTTCATCAAATTTAAATTTGATGAAAAATTTGTTGATATGGTATTTTCAACTATTAATTCATTAAATCCATATTAAATGAAAGGAGAGAAAATTTTCATCAAATCAATGGAGCGTTAATTTTTTTCATCAGATTCTCAAAGGTATTATTTTCACAAAATTGAAATACCTTCTATGTCCTCATATGTTATCTTCAACTTGAACAGCCATGGATTTATTGAAAATTTCAATCTGAGCTCCCATAGATTTCATGAAACGTTGGGGTTTTTAGGATTGAAAGGGGCAAAACTCATTGAGAGAGAGAGAGAGAGAGAGAATATATTTTGTTTATGGTGAAATTAACATAATTATTTATTTATTTATTTTATAAATAGCATAATATAGGATTCATGATTTTCATGAATGAGGGAAGTCTGGTGATTTGAGGCACTCTCTGACATTTATTGTAGTGCTTGGGTCACAACTAAGGGTATATTGGAATTAAAATGGTGTTGTAGTGTATCTCTGTTCTGTGTTCTTCTCTTTTCGTTTCTATTTGCTTCCTTTATTGGTTTCTCACCAATTTAGGGTCTTGTGCGATCGGCTCTTCTATCTTTGTTGATGTAAGTTATGTTGTTTTTCTCTCTTCATCAATAAAGTTTTCTTTGGTTGATCAAAAAAAAAAAAATAAACAACATATCATAAAAAGATTATACTTTTTATTTATGTTTATAGTATTTTTTAAAATTATTTAAGTTAGTTTAATTGATTAATTAAAATAAAAAGTATGATTAGAGTGCACACTAACTAAACTAATTAGACAAAATAAAGATTGTTCTCTTCTATGTATGTACTTTAAGAAGGCATTTTTCTTAACAGCTTTTGAATTGCTCAAAGGAAGGAGGTAAAAGGGCTATATGAAGCATTTTTGTTGGTGAAATTGTTTTGGTCTTTCCTCCAAAGAACTCTGCATCTCAAAAAGCATTTTGCTCATTTTCATTTTGGCTTTTCACAAGTAGCTAGCATCCAATGCTAGGCAAAAGGTCTTCCCCCCATTTTGCCCATATTTGCTTGCTATTTGGATCAAATTTGTTGCGTTTTGTTTGTTTCATATTCATTTGATCGTATGAAAAAATTACCGTTGAAAGAATATGATCATTTAAAATATAATGGTGTAAAAATATTATTTAAAAAATAATTTAATAATATATTTTTAAAAAATAAATATTCATAAACGGCATGTCAGCAACCACGTCAACACTAGATGCATATGCAACATATCAAAAAAAAAAATTGTATTTTTTATTTATGAATATAATATTTTCTTTTAAAAATTAATTGACTTAATTTGATTAGTTATCTAAAATAAAGAATATAATTAAAATGCATACTAATTAAACTAATTAAACAAAATAAAAACAAAAATGCTAGAGGCCCCGAAAATTCTATCAAAAGTTTTACCAAATGTCTCACATGGATGTGGGACCCACATGGGACCCACATTGTGTGGGTCCCACACCCATGTGAAACATTTGGTAAAACTTTTGGTAGAATATTTAGGGTTTCTAGCATTACTCAAATAAAAATAGTACTTTTTCATGTACTTTTACGGGACATTTTATCCAGCAACCTTGCAGTTGCTAATATGATTGGTGTACAGATATGATTGGCATGTTGTCCAGCAGCTCGCGCTAATATGATTGGTGCGTAGATTTGAATGCATTTACACTATGAAAAATGATTGATTAATTGAAAGTATCACATGACTATGTCTTTGGTGAATTATAAATCATTATATTCTTTTATGTTATAATTACTGGAAAAGGGGTTATTGTTGTGTTAAAAAATACAGCAGTGACTGTGATGTTTCCGTTTGAGATGTATTATGATCTTATTTTTATGATTCAAACCGTTATTTTGTAGAATTTGTTGAGTACTTCATGCCTACCAAAAATCATATTAATCGGATATCAACAACTATATGATCGATAATCAAAAAAATAAATAATAAATTTTTCTTTTGAGAAATAGCATAAACAATATGCAATTCGATCATATAGTTATTGATATCTGATTAATATAATTTTTGTTAGGCATGAAGTACACAACAAACTCTACAATATGAACGGTTTAGATCATAAAAATAAAACCATAATACACCTCAAATGGAGGCACCACAGTCACTGTTGTGCTTTGAGTACAGTAGGAATCATGTTCCATTTTTCCTTGACATAAAATTATAAATTTTAGCTCATTTGTCAATTACAATGTATACAAGCATCACGTAACATTGGTCTTTGGAACAACTAATAACTTCTTTTTACACTATAGTCCTGGTTAGATCCGATTTTCAATTACAAAGCACATCTTGCCACGAGGCATAACTTGTGTAGATTTGAATGCATTTGTAAAGCTTTGTTATAATTAAAAATAATAATAATAAAAAATTTGGTCAAGATATTAAAAAAAAATAAAAATAAAAATAAAAAAAGGTTTACTGCCTAGTGAGGAGGAGGGATAGAAAAAGAATCTTCTAATCTTGCAAAAGCAAATTAGGGAAGGAATCACCCATATGTCACGAAGAAAAACATTCCAAGTAGTGGTTGGGCAAGTGCTTCATTTGCTCCCTCCACACGTATTCTCTCTCTCTCTCTCTCTCAATTACAGGATACTTTAAAAAGGATATTGTACAAATACCGGATATTTATCCGATGCAGGTATATATATTGATACGGCGGTACGTATATTGGATATGTTGAATACATGTCGGTTATGACAAATATATTTGGATACGTTGTGGGTACGACATGAGTACGCTATGGGTACAACATCGGTACGGCAAGATGATTTTTTTTTTTTTAGCTACTAGAATTTATTACAGTCTTTATTTTTTTTCTTTCAATTATGAAAATATCAAGTAATTTATTTCCAACACCTTTTATCCATGAGTCATGATTTTGTTCTATTTTGTATTCCGTTTTAGACAATCGAAAAAGAAAAATGAAGAATTATATAACTTTTTAGACAAGTTGTTCTCTTTTTAAGGGGTTATTTAGGGTATCCTAAATAAGTGTACTTTTTGTCATTTTGAATTAAAAAGTTAAGGAAAAAAAAGATAGATGTTTGGGTTAATTTTTTGTCTTTTTACGAAAAAATGTGTAATAAAAAATTGTATAAATAAAGTGTATAGTGGAAGAAAGTTGAGTGGTTGTACGGTTGCCGTGCTGCCCCAGCATGTCTTACCTAGAAAATAATTGCCTCCTTCAGGGCAAAGTATTTGGATAGTGATGGTCGGTCCGTGGGGCCCACCATGAGTCCCATTTTAATAATCTGAACTATTTAATATATACAACTCATCGAATATTATATGAATGTAAAAAATCACGTTGATCAGATATCGATAGTTATATGATCGGATTAGTTTTTTTTCAACAGTTAACTATCACACCATCCGTTTTGTTTACACAAAACTGATTTGATCATATAGTTAACGATATCCGATCAACGTGATTTTTTACAGACATATATTACTCGATGAGTTCTACATATTGCACGGTTTGAATTATCAAAACGGAACCATTAGTGGACCCCAAAGGCCTAACATTACCATCAAACTTGTGGCTTTATATATATATATATATTTTTTTTTGGCCCAAAAAATGTATAATGCCCTTCCTGCTTCCATCAAACTTTTGTATTATAAAAATAAATAAAATATTTTTTTAATACATTTTATTTGTAAATAGTAATGATTTTTTTTGTTTTTTGTGTAACTTTTTAATTTTTTAGATTATTTTGGACTTGCCAAATCAGTCCTTAGTTTTGATATTGAAACTTATGATTTGTGTATTGGATGTTTATGACGTACCCAAGCCATACTCATACTCTACATATTTAAGAATTTATCACATCGACTAATCTATACCATACTCGTACCTATATTCGTATCTGCACCGTGTTTCATAGTTGTATATACTTTGTTTCTCTCCTTCCTCCGTGTAATGAACTTATATTATAAACCCGCTTTCCCTCTGCCTCAACTCTCAACCAAGAGAGAGAGAGAGAGAGAGATGGCATCATATCAGAGCATGTTATTATCAGTTTTTTTGTTAATTGTAATTCTAGTTTCATCGGGTACGTATTCTCACAAAAACCACCTTGTTTTTTTTTTTGTTCCTTAATTTCTTGTTCATATTTAATAACCTGTTTGATTGACATTTATAAATTATTTATGAGTCATTATTATAGGCACATAAACAGATTTTTTCCAATACTAGATACAATGATATGGGTTTTATGTATATTTAATAATATAGATAGTGCTATCTGTATGTCTAATTATAAAAATTTGATGAGAAATCATAAAAAAGCGGCTGAGAATAAAATTTGTCCTAGAAAAAACAATCTTTCCATCTTTTCACAAATGGATATTTACTAATTAATTACCTTGAAAAGTTTTATGATATGCAACTCGAAAAGTTGTGCATAATGCACAGTCCAATAGGTTTGTCATTCATTACTTCAAAATTTTAGTTACAATTTAATATGGTTGAGTTACCACTAAATGTAATTTGGTTAGGAGCGTGTTGTTCTAGATTGTACCCCAGTATATTGAGTGGACCAAGGCATATAAAATGGTAACCATATCATATGTGAGCATAACTAAATCATGTTACGACATGAGTACGCTATGGATACAACATCGATACGGCGAGGTGATTTTTTTTTTTTTAGCTATTAGAATTTATTACAGTCTTTATTTTTTTTCTTTCAATTATGAAAATATCAAGTAATTTATTTCTAACACCTTTTACCCATAAGTCATGGTTTTGTTCTATTTTGTATTCCGTTTTAGACAATCAAAAAAGAAAAATGAAGAATTATATAACTTTTTAGACAAGTTGTTCTCTTTTTAAGGGGTTGTTTAGAGTGTCCTAAATAAGTGCACTTTTTGTCATTTTGAATTAAAAAGTTGAGGGAAAAAAAAGATGGATGTTTGGGTTAATTTTTTATCTTTTTACAAAAAAATGTGTAATAAAAAATTGTATAAATAAAGTGTATAGTGGAAGAAAGTTGAGTGGGTGTACGGTTGCCATGCTGCCCCAGAATGTCTTACCCAGAAAATAATTGCCTCCTTCAGGGCAAAGTATTTGGATAGTGATGGTCGGTCCGTGGGGCCCACCATGGGTCCCATTTTAATAATCTGAACCATTCAATATGTACAACTCGTCGAGTATTATATAAATGTAAAAAATCACGTTGATCAGATATCGATAGTTATATAATCGGATTAGTTTTTTTTTCAACAGTTAACTATCACACCATCCGTTTTGTTTACACAAAACTGATTTGCTTATATAGTTAACAATATCCGATCAAGGTGATTTTTTACAGACATATATTACTCGATGAGTTCTACATATTGAACGGTTTGAATTATCGAAACGGAACCATTAGTGGACCCCCAAGGGCCTAACATTACCATCAAACTCTGTGGCTTTACATATATATATATATTTTTTGGCCCAAAAAGTGTATAATGGCCTTCCTGCTTCCATCAAACTTTTGTATTATAAAAATATATTAAATATTTTTTTAATACTTTTTAATTGTGAATAGTAATAACTTTTTTGTTTTTTATGTAACTTTTTAACTTTTTAGATTATTTTGGACTTGTCAAACCAACCCTTAATTTTGATATTGAAACTTATGATTTGTATGTTGGATGTTTATGACGTACCCAAGCCGTACTCATACTCTACATATTTAAGAATTTATCATATCGGCGTATCTATATCATACTTGTACCTATATTTGTATCTGCCACGTGTTTCATAGTTGTATATACTTTGTTTCTCTCCTTCCTCCGTGTAATGAACTTATATTATAAACCCGTTATCCCTCTGCCTCAACTCTCAACCAAAAGTGAGAGAGAGAGAGAGAGAGAGAGAGAGAGAGAGATGGCATCATATCAGAGCATGCTATTATCAGTTTTTTTGTTAATTGTAATTCTAGTTTCATCGGGTACGTATTCTCACAAAAACCACCTTGTTTTTTTTTTTGTTCCTTAATTTCTTGTTCATATTTAATAACCTGTTTGATTGTCATTTATAAATTATTTATGAGTCATTATTATAGGCACATAAACAGATTTTTTCCAATCCTAGATACAATGATATGGGTTTTATGTATATTTAATAATATAGATAGTGCTATCTGTATGTCTAATTATAAAAATTTGATGAGAAATCATAAAAAAGCGGCTGAGAATAAAATTTGTCCTAGAAAAAACAATCTTTCCATCTTTTCACAAATGGATATTTACTAATTAATTACCTTGAAAAGTTTTATGATATGCAACTCGAAAAGTTGTGCATAATGCACAGTCCAATAGGTTTGTCATTCATTACTTCAAAATTTTAGTTACAATTTAATATGGTTGAGTTACCACTAAATGTAATTTGGTTAGGAGCGTGTTGTTCTAGATTGTACCCCAGTATATTGAGTGGACCAAGGCATATAAAATGGTAACCATATCATATGTGAGCATAACTAAATCATGTTAAGTCAGAAATCAATTACATTAAATCGAAACTATTAACCTTTACTATGTATGTCTTGGATTGAACAGAGCCAAAAGTATCCGAATCAGCTAGAATTTTCACTCTAATAAACGATTGCAAGGAGACAATTTGGCCTGCAATCACCCCAGGAGAGAACTTCAATGGTGGTGGTTTTGCATTAAAATCAGGTCAATCTATTGTGTTAACTGCCCCAGTTGGCTGGAGCGGTCGAATTTGGGGTCGAACTGGTTGCAACTTCGATAAGAATGGCAATGGGATGTGTCAAACCGGTAGATGTGGTACATCCCTCAAGTGCACGGCCTTCGGTGAACCCCCTGCTACGTTTGCCGAATTTACCCTCGCCACACTTGATTTTTACGATGTTAGCCTTGTCGATGGCTTCAACATACCGTTGGCAGTGAAAACCATTAATGGAAAGGGAAACTGCACCACTACAGGATGTGACGCGGACTTGAGGCCTACTTGTCCACCGGAGCTCGCCGTTAAGGCCAATGGGAAGACTATAGCGTGTCGGAGCGCGTGCGAAGTGTTCGAAACTGATGAGTATTGTTGTAGGGGTGAACCTACATATTACTCGAAGAAATTCAAGGCAGCATGCCCTACGGCTTATAGCTATGCTTATGATGATCCTACTAGTATTTTTACATGCTCAGCAGCAGATTATATTGTCACATTTTGCTCATTCAGGTCATATAGTTTCTTTTAAGTTTTATAATTATAGATTGATTAATACTCTAACCATCCAATACAGAATCTTTCTCAATCACTTTATCATTAAGTGCTTTCAGTTTTTAGTTTTTAGTATATGATATAGAAAAAGTTTAGAAATACATAAATTGGTCATAAAATTAGACACACTTTTTTTTACATAGTTAAATCTTTTCTTTTTATGAGTTCCATAATTAAATAAGAGATTTATATATAATTTTGTGATTAATTTTTGAGCAAATAGAAGATTTGCTTGATATATATAGTGAATTTTTTTATAGCTTTAAAAGTTTTAGTGGTTACAATTACAAAAACACTTCCAAAGAACAAGGTCCTTCTTTGTTTCAAACACAACTGATGAACTTTTATCTCTCTATATAAAATTAAATATAGCTTTAATTTTTCTTACTCATTGGAACTTACCAAAATTTTCCCCTCCCCTAGGTAAGCTCTCCCTTGCATAATTACCTCCCTCCCCCTCATTCTCTTTCTCCCCACACCGCTATGCCTCCCTTTGACGGTAAGAAATGGTTTGGGACAATGGTTTGGAAAAAAACAAAAGATTTTTCTTAAAATTTAGTCTATTTTTTAAGTGGGATCCATACGTTAAAGTTAGCGGGTCTATGTGGTAATGCGTTCTTTACCACATAACGATGTATATTTGGTTGCTCAAACCTATTATCGGGTGAATAGGAAATCGATGCCAAAATGAACTTTATGAAAATGGTGTTTTGGTGAAATTTCCATAAAGGATGGAGATAAGGTTTGTCCCACATTGCTTTGGTGGGCAAATTTGGTGTGAGTTTATAAGCCTTCGGTTTGCATCTTGGGGAGGGCCTCAAGAAGTACCCAAGTTTTGTGGAAGGATGAGGTTATGGACAAAGTGGGTTGGACCCACTAGATTCAAATCAAACACACCTTTGGAATTTGAAATTCCAAATTGACCCCAACATTGGCAATTTGGTCTAATGCACCTATTCCTCCAAAATAAACAAGTTCTTACCTGTTTAAATTCAACCCGAACAAGTTTTTACTTGTTTAACTCTATCCCGCATAGGTTTTTTACGAAGTTACCTGTTTAAATTCAACCCGAACAAGTTTTTACCTATTCAACTCTGCCCGCACAGGTTTTTTACCTGTTGAAGTCTGTTCTGAGAAGCCACCAGTTCTCCTATAAATAGATAAGTCCTCTATTTGGCCTTTTAATCTAATTTTCATTCTTTTTTTCTGCTTTTACTTTCTACATTTTGCTACATAAATTTTCTGTGAGAAATAGTATAAACACAGAGTGTGTTCACTGGGCAATTAGTTGGTAGTGCTGCTACTAGTTGTCGTTGATTATTTTATCCTAGGAGATAAACGTCCATAATCTGAAAGTACCGTGGAGAGAACGAATCTTTCTTAAGGACACAGTGTTCAACAATGGACTTGATCAAATTTTCTGAGAAGATAATATTGTAACTATTTGGTTTGACTTTCTATTTTCATTATTTTTCCTTTCCAAATTCTCTTTTGTTTCTATAACAAAATAAGTATCTGATTTCCTTTTTTGGTTTTTTGTTTTTTTCTGTTTTGATTTTTGTAATCAAACAGACTCTCTTTCTTAATTCTTTCTTAGAATACAATGAAAATTGTCTAACACGCAAATATCACTGTAACACCCTAAAATAATTAAAATAAACCAACCGTAACGATAATTAAATAATCATCATAAATCAGAGTACTATATTCTTTCATTTTACGAAATTCAATTGTACAAAAGAGGTGGCACATGTGAATATACATTCATAAATCCTAACCTTGAATCTATAACATGTGTCAATAACAAAAATAAGAAGTAGAAGTTAAACAAATAATGGAAATGTCTTGAAGATTACAACTTTTCAAGACAATGCTAGGTTACATCAAAAGTGAGTCTTGAGCTCAATACATATAAAGCCTTAAGCTTGTACAAACATTAATACAAAATAACAAAACTGAGCCTTCAGCTCCATATTCCTCCCAAGTTAAGTCCTTGGTGGAGGCATCTCACTAATACATGAAAATGAGTTTCCTATATAGGATGAGCCAAAGCCCAGTAAAAATAATCTAACACAATATATAAATCTTAACAAAGATATAAGGGTGAAATACATATACAATGCTTATGTCAAAACAGTTTACATTTCTTTCTCAAATCATATCCTTTACCATTAGAAACAATAGGGGATTCTCAAACCGGTACAACCTTTCATGGGTATTTTGTTTGCGAGAAACTGTCAATTGGCATCCATGTAAATGTAGTCTATATAAGCACTACTATTGCCATTTTATGGATATTTCGTCCACGGGAATCGGCACCCATGTATACACGCTTTTTTTGGGACTTTCACCCTAAACACACAAGCCAACTTAGTTTGGTGATACACACCTCTTTCCAACATTCACCCATTTTCTCAATTTCATAGACATATGCAATGTATTAAATGAGCAACAATGTTCAATGCACAAAGATGAGAAATTAGTTTCAATTCACCTGATCCTCATACAATTTCTACAACAATCATAGATATCCTCCGTCGATAGCCCAAAACAGATATTTTTAAACAGATATATAAAATCTCCAATATAGATAAACTTTCCAAATTTCAAGGTGAGTTATAATACATATCAAACTCTACCATCTATATCAATATCCATCCAATTTCGTATTCCCAACATTAATTCCATTTATTTATACAAAATAAATATTTGAAACATTTAGGTCAAAGCATTTTTTCTTCCAAAATCCAATCAAAATATCAAAATCAACAATTTTATCACCACTTAACCTCATTTCCACTCCCACAATCATTTTTCCATACAACCATTTGAAAACCCCTCTTTTAATTTTAAACCAAAACTCTAAGTTTGTTCAAAATTCTCCAAAATCACAAGATTATGTTACAAAAACAAATAGCTAAGTTAAAAATCATAAAAGATTATAGAGAATCCCTACCTCAAAACTAAAATACAAGAAAAGCACAGATGAAACTTGAATAAAGCATACACCGAACTCTATTCAGATGAAAATGAAGTTCTAAGTGAGCTCTACCTTTTTAACAAAGGGAGTAGGGTAGAGAAATGGGCAAATCTTTGTGTATTTGTAAAGAAATAGTGAGTTTTAGAGAGGGAGTGTCTCAACTTAGGGTTTTGAAATATTTTAGAAAGAAATATATGAAAAAATGATATAAAATGACCTTTTTACGAACTGATATACGTACAACTCACTCGAGTGACAACTCTCGAGCGCAAGAGTTGTCGCTCGAGCGACCAGATACAATAAGTTATTTCGCTCGAGCGCAAGAAGCTTCGCTTGAGCGCAGAATACACACTCCCAGAAGTTTTACAGACAGAAGATCATCACTTGAGCGTAGGAAGGCTTGCTCTAGCGAAGAACACTACCTCTTCAGTGTCTCTGCAGGCCTGCAAAAGTATTTGAAGCTCACAAAGCTCGCTCGAGCGCAAGAAGCTTTACTCTAGCAAAGAGACCAAATTCTGGGCAACAACAGTTTGAACCAACTAACAACCAACCTGTTCCAAACACAACCAAGGCACTCCAACACTCGAACTCAATGAGAAATAAGGAGAAACACAGTATGAATATCTAAACATGACAAATGAAACCCGGATTCAAAACATCAACGGGTAGGATCTAAACCAGGAACGCTATAACCACCACCATTTTTCCTCTACGTTGCATAGAGCTCTGCTACCAACAACTTTAAAACCTAAATGAACAAAGGCTATAAAAACACAGAAGTTAAGTTAATAGCCAAAAAATTAATGTAACAAAAACAAAGGGGAAGAAAAAAGTATTGTATGCTTCAATTGGCTTCTCTATACAGAGTATCATTTTGAGTGTTTTCTGCTAAGAAAAAAAATACATAACAACTAAGCAACACTATTGAATCAAATGTATAGAATGCAAAGAATAGGAACAAAGTACACATATTAACAATGAAGAAGTAAAGAGAAGAAGAAATAAAAATAATAAAAAAAGATCCAATAAGAAGAAATGGAATCAAAATAACAACAAACAAGCAAAAACATGAAGAAATAGAGAGAGAGAGAGAGAGAGAGAGAGAGAGAGAGAAACAGAAGAGCAGAAATTGACAAAAAAATAAAACCCAAAACATAGTAGAGTTGATCTGATCTGAGGATATCATCGTCTCTAGCACATCTCTGGTCAAAAGTGTTTCCATTTCAAGAAAAAATCCATATACGTGGATGCCCTCCCTTCCAGACAACATAACTATGGAGGAAATTTGAGAAGGATGGTGATGGTGGTTCTAGCTTTTTCTGGTAGAATAGAGGGGTATTAGAATGAAGGTTTTAGGGTTGAATTAGGGCCGTCCGTAGGTAAGTAGCTAATTTAGAATAGCAGACTATGAATAATAGTGTGCCAAATCGAGTGATTGGGCAACGCATCTGGAAACGATTTATTGATGGTAGAAGAAGAAAATGAAGGAGGTTTGAGAGTTTTTGAAAGCAGCAATGGTAGTGGAAGAATGAGAGTGAGATGAGTCAAGAAGATGAAAGGGAGAGCTCTCGCCAGCGGTAATGGGAGATGAGTTGCACCAAGATGGAGAAAAAGAGTTGTGGTAATAATAGGGCAGAGTTGCACGAAGCTAGAGATTGAGGGGGAGACGGAGAGCGAGAGAGGGAGAGAGAAGAAAGGAGGAGAGTTATCTGAACGTCGGAGGGGGTTCCGCCCACGCTGGTGTTGTCATATATGGCACTGCTACGAGAGAATGAGAGCTGCGAGAGAGAGAGAGAGAGAGAGAGAGAGAGAGAGAGAGAGAAAGAGAGAGAATCAGTGAGGAGAGACAAGGCTGGGGCAAGCAAGAATGAAATTAGGGCCAACTTTTTGCGACAGTTGTAAAATCCGTCGATGAATGGAAAAAACTTTTGTGACGGGGTAACGTATCGTCGCATATGTTGTGTCTTTTTGTGACGGCTACGGGTTATTCGTTGGTAAAAATATCAGTTTTTATTATCTTTTTTGGTAACAGATTACTTTCATCACAAAAAATTATATTTAGTGACGGATTTTGTTTCGTCACAAAAGCTTGTTATTTGCAACAATTTTTAAGCCGTCACAAAAAATTCCGTGTCATAAAGCCCCTTTCTAGTAGTGAGTTGTCATTAAGCCTGGGTTTGATGTGTTTTTTCCTCCATTCTATAATCTTTTTATGTTGCACCTCTTCTCCTCCTTTACACTAGAATCCTACTATAGATCAGCCCTAATCAACTTATACTTTGATCTTTATAAATTATTATTTTACCTTGGATTGTAAAACCATTTTTTTAGAACTAAGGTTGCAAATATAAGATGTAACGATAAACGGGTGTAAGGCCGGACGGAAGTCTTGTGAAGTGGGATAAATATAGAGCTAATATTCATTGAATAAGGCACCGTTGTCATTCCTAAAAAAAAAAAAAAAAGAATTAATTACAAAATGGGACCTGGTTTGTTTGTTTGTTTGCTCTGGTTTGTTATATGCTATGTTCTCTCATGAATTTTTGGTGTACTTAGCAAACATCTTATTGTTGATTCTTAATAATATTTCCCATCTGTCTATTGTTTGGATTTGATTAAATGCATGATTATTGGCCAAAACAAACATTTGTTGTCTGATGATTTCAGGAACCAAACTGTGCACATATCACAACCCGCAAGCTCATTTGCAGTGGATCAAACGGCTTTAAATCGTTGATCTGAAAATGGTGGTACTTGATGCTTGGATTGCCACTGATTATTCACTTTTGGATGACTATTCAGCAGAAGCTCCTAAGGTCTTTTGCTTTTATTTTTTGCTTTTTGTAAATATAATTTTTTTTAAAGGTTTATTTATTTATTTATTTCGGAAGGGGCCTTCTGTTTAACAGCATCAGTGCTCCAAATGATTGTACATATGAATCTGATTATTTAACTTTGTTTTTGTTCAAAATTGATCAATTACAATTACTATGCCCAAATTTCAATATGTGGTGAATATATGGGAACTTACATTAGATGGGAAACAAAAATAAATGGCTAGTTAAAATAGTTAGTTATTTTTGTTTTTTATTGCTCTAGCATCTCTATCAAACTAATTAAAATTTTGTTATAGCTTGATTTTAAGTTTTTGTTATTTTTATTTTGGCTGTACACCTTTTTAAATATATTGTCTGACAAACTCTTTATTTTTTTTATATTATTTAAATATTATTTTTATTCATTTTAATTTAGAATTATTTTTCATAATTAATTTCAAAATATGAAATTTAATATTGTTTTAATAGTTAACTAAGTGAAACCACTGGTTACATTTGTTGAGTCAAAATCAATAAAACTAAAAGGGTCCAGCTTGTCTCAAGTTGAGATCAAGACTGGACCCGTCCAGTTCGGCCCATAGGGTCTATTTTTTGGGCCCGTTTTGATAATCTGAACCGTTTAATGTGTAGAACTCGTCGAGTACTACAAATTTATGAAAAATTACGTTGATCGGATATCAATAGCTATGTGATCAAATCAGTTTTGTATAAAAAAAAAAATAAACGGTGAAACAATTAACGGTTGACCAAAAATTGTAGATTGTGTGTTTATTGGTTATGCTCAGAATAGTAGTGCATATCGGTTTCTGACTTATAAATTATAAATACCTGATATAAATGTGAACACTATTATAAAGTCAAGGAATGCTGTGTTTTTTGAACATGTCTTTCCTTACATGAAATGACAGGAATTAAGTTCACAGAAAAGAACTTATGATTGTACACAAAATCAAGAGACTAATGACAATCAACTACAAGAGACTAGTAATGGTCTTGACCAACAGGATTTAACTGATGATGAACCAAAACGAAGTAAGAGAGCAAGAACATCAAAATCCTTTGGTCTAGATTTTCTGACATACCTGTTAGAAAATAAACATCAAAGCTTTAAGGAAGCAATGACAGGTCCTGAAACACCTTTGTGGAAAGAGGCTGTTAATAATAAAATTGAATCCATTATGCAAAATCATACTTGGGAATTTGTGGATCTTCTACCAGGTTCTAAACCTCTTGGATATAAATAGATATTCAAGAGAAAAATGAAAGCTGATGGTTCAATAGACAAGTATAAAGTAAGACTTGCAGTAAAAGGTTACAGACAAAAGGAAGGTTTGGACGATTTTGACACATATTTTCCTGTGATTAGAATAACATCTATTCGCATGCTTATTGCTATAGCAGCGTTGTTTAATTTAGAGATACATCAAATGGATGTTAAGACAGCTTTCTTAAATGGTGATCTAAATGAAAAGATCTATATGGAGCAACCCGAAGGGTTTGTAGTGTCGGAGCAAGAAAAGAAAGTTTGTCGGCTTGTAAAGTCTCTTTATGGATTAAAACAAGCGCCTAAACAATGGCATAAAAAATTTGATCATACTATACTTACTAATAGGTTTAAGATAAACGAATGTGACAAATGCGTCTATGTTAAAAACACTGACCAAGGATATGTCATCGTTTGTCTTTATATGGATGACATACTTATCATTGGAAGCAGTCAAAACATGATCAAATCAACTAAGCAAATGCTTAACAAAAGATTTGATATGAAAGATATGGGGGTTGCAGATGTTATATTAGGAATGAAAATTACTACAACATCTGACGGGTATGCATTATCTCAATCTCATTATATTGAGAAAATTCTTAATAAATTTATCAATGATGATTTGTATGTAGCTAGAACACCTGTAGACATCAGTCTTTATTTATCGAAAAATAAAGGTGATGTAGTGTCTCAGTTAAAATACTCCCAAATCTTTAGAAGCCTAATGTACCTAATGAATTGTACTCGTCCTGATATAGCTTATGCTATCAGTAAATTGAGTAGGTACACTAGTAACCTCAGAGAAAGACCATTGGAAGGCGATCATTCGGGTTCTTAGATATCTAAGATTTACCCGTGATCATGGTTTGAACTTTACTCGATATCTAGCAGTACTCGAAGGTTATTGTGATGCAAATTGGATATCGGATACTAAAAATTCAAAATCCACTAGTGGATATGTCTTTACTATGGGAGGTGCTACTATTTCTTGGAAATCCACGAAACAAACATGCATTGCACGATCCACAATGGAATCCGAGTTCATTGCTTTAGACAATGCAGGAGAAGAAGCAGAATGGCTTCGTCATTTCTTAGAAGATATTCCAATGTGGCCAAAATCTGTGCCAACTATTTGCATTGATTGTGATAGTCAATCTGCAATAGGCAAGGCACAGAATCATATGTATAACGGTAAGTCACAACATATTCGTCGTCGATATAATACCATAAGGCAATTGTTGTCAAATGGAATAATCTCAATAGATTATAAAAAATCTAAAGAGAATATTGCGGATCCGTTAACAAAAGGTTTGACAAAAGAGCTAGTGTATAGTTCATCGAAGGGGATGGGATTAAAGCCTATTACATAAGAGTCATCGTAATTGTAACCCTACTTATATGATTGGAGATCCCAAGAATTAAGTTCAAAGGGACAACTAAGCTATGTGTGGCTCGCCAAAAATCACCAAGGGATTAAAATTCCCTACCCATTCCTATGGTGAGAGTGATATCTGCAACATGTGTTGTCTGCAGGGGTATAAGGATAAGCTTTGCTTTTAATGATTACTTATATCTTGATTTAGGTATAAAAATCAAGACAAGTATAAAGAGATACATACAATAAGAATCACCTATATGAGTGTCGAACTGGGGCCGGTTCTATGAGAATGAAATAGGCTAAATTCTCTAGAAACACTTATGAAAACCAGGAGCGTTCAAGGCCAAAATGAACACCACAGTGAGAACAAGGATGTGTTAGAAGATATTTTGTGTGAAATCTATTGTCTGGACTTACACAAACGCCTGAACAATTCAAGGCATCACGTCCATTGGTTAGGTAGTAAGTCTGATAGGTTATCACTAGGGAAGGTTTAAGGCCGAAAGCTCCCTATCCTGATGCAAGATATTTTCGACTTATACTTTTTCGATAAAGTCTGCATATTGTTGCATTTCCGTTGTCATCAAATTCCATTCATGTGGGGGATTGTTGGAAATGGTTGGGAAAATTCTGGGTAAACCAAAAAAATTTCCTAACTTTGGTCTAATTTTTAGGTGGGACTCGAGCGTCAATTTTCACGGGTCAAAGTGGTAATGCGTCCTATGCCGCGTTGTAATTCACATGGTATATTTGGTTGCTCAAAACCATTATCGAGTGAATGGGAAATTGAAGTCAAAGTGTGCTCCATGGAAAATGGAGTTTTGGTAGAAATTCCTTAAGGATTGTGTAAATGGCTTGTCCTACATTGATTTTGTGGAAAGTTTTGAATGAATTTATATAGCTTGGACTTATAACTTGGAGAGAGCCCCAAGGGGCACCCCAAGTTTGTAGAAGGGAGAGGTTATGGGCAAAATGGACTAGACCCATTGGACCCAAAAATCACCACACGCGTGCGCGCCGCCGCCGCCTTCCATCCGATCGGTCGGGCGGGCTGGGCTGGGCCTGGGCTTGGGCGCAGGTGCGTGGTGTGAGGTTGGGTTAGACTTGTCCGGCCCAATACCTATCTTTTTGGGCTAAAAACATTTAAATTTAATTTTATTTTTTGGTAATAAAATCCAGAATTCAAATTAATTCCAAAAATAAACTGGTCCGGTTTTACTGTACACCCAAACAGGTCCCTTCTGTTTTTATCTGTTTGAATTTTGAACCCAACATATTTAAATCTGTTTAATTCAAAACCAAACAGGTTTCATACCTGTTCAAACAGGTTGCACCTGTTTAATTCAAAACTAACAATCACAATTTTGCCTATAAATAGACTAGCCCCTCATTTGGTTCACTTACTAATTTTCATCCATAAAATTCTGCATACATACTCTTTATATTGCTACATTATTTTCTTGTGAGAGATAGTATAAACACTTACTGTGTTCATTGTATAAATATATTGTAGTGCTGCATATATTTATTGTTGATCATTTCATCCTGGGAGATAGACATCCATATTTTGAAAGCACCGTGGAGAGGACGAATCTGTCTTAAGGACACAGTGTCAAACCCTGGACTTGATCAGAATAATATTCAAGAAATTAATCAAGTAAGTTATTTATTTATTTTCTATTTTTTATTATTTATTTAAATTAGATTTTAATTTTATTTTTGTAACAAAATAATATCTGTTTTTATTTATTTAATTTTATTTCTAGTTTGATTTTTGTAATCAAGCAAATTTCTCTCTTTTTCTTTATTTCTTTTATATTCTGTTTGTTATTAAGTACACAAACAGAATTAATTAATTACAGTGAAGAATGTCCAATAGTGTTTTCAATTTGTTTTCAATTTAGAAATCTTTTTATCAAATGGCAAGTTTTAATATTTGGTATTTTTGTATAGAAAATACAAGGCTTAATTTTATCATTTTTTAAAAAAAATTAAATTAAATAGTTTTTGAATAAAAAAAGTAATGAAATAGTTTTGATAATGCATGATTTTCTTATATGTATTTATTATTGGTATTTGACAATTTACTTGATAATCTTTTGGTTATGTTGAGTTGAATTGTTATCCCAAAAAAAAAATGTTGACAAGTTGTTATATTATGTTCAAAATTTGTAAAAGTTTAAACCGCTAAACCGATTCACATCCATCCGCCAATCTGCTCAATCTGCATTCATCAATTCGGCGGACGGATGCGTATTGATTTTTTTCAATCCGCCCATCCGACGAACGGATGGTAGACTAGAGGTAAGGGGTGTTCGCGTTTCGGTTACAGCCAAAAAATCTCTAATTCACCATCCGTCAGCTGGATGAGCAAATTGGAAAAATCAATCCGCATTCGTCTACAGAATTAAAGGATGCGAATTGGCAGGTGGATGCAAATTGGTTTGGCAATTTAAACTTTTATAAATTTTGAACATAATACAACTTGTCAACATTTTTATCAGGATAACAATCCAACTTAAGATAACCAAAAGATTATCAAGTAAATTGTCAAATACCAATAATAAATACATATAAGAAAATCATGCATTATCAAAACTATTTCATTACTTTTTTTTATTCAAAAACTATTTAATTTTTTTTTTAAATAATAAAATTAACCCTTATATTTTCCACACAAAAATACCAAATATTAACCCTTGCCATTTGATGAAAGGATTTCTAAATTGAAAACAAATTGAAAACACGACAGAATAATATCTAAACTCTTTTTCATTGAAAACACAAACAGAATATCTAAACAAATTGAAAACATAGAGTCTTACAAATTACTAGTGGTGCTCGCGGTTTGGCAGTTCGGTTGCGGCTAAAGGAACTTCAAATCCATCATCCATCCAAAACTAGACGAATTGAAAAAAATCAATCTGCAACCGTCCGTTCGTCATCATACATCCGTCCAAAATGCAGCGGATTGATTCGATTCGGTCGGTTTGGACGGATCAAAATATCTGCTGCTCACCCTTATGAGATACAATACAAGTAAAGAGAGAAGAATAGTACAGAAACAAAAGAAACGAACATGGCTAGTGACGAGATGGGTTAGGGTTTACCTCAATGGACAAGAAGAAAGCTTCACTCCAAGATGAGAGGGTTTGATTATCAGGGTAATTTGGTCCTTTCGCTAAAGCATGTCCTTATGGACATGGTATTTTCGAGTGTAGATCTTTAAACAAAAGAAATCTAAATTTGAATTTAAAGCATGAAAACTACTGAAAAATGGAGGTGGATCTATCTTATAAAAATAATAAATAATAAAAAATAAAAAAGAAGAAAAAGAAGTTGATGTGACTTTTTAAGAAAAGAGTAAAGTTTTTAGAATGTGTCATCTAAGTATGAGAAAAATATTACTTTTATATATATATATATATATATATATTAGTAGTTGACCCGTGTGAGTCATTTCATGTCTATAGTTAATGTTGTTAACTGTTACATTTTAATCCAAAATCACATGAGGGCATATGAATATTTTTAAAAGATAGTGAGGTAAAATACTATTAAGGCATATGACAGGAAGGTAAAATGGATTTTGCTCAAAAATATATTACGAAATTTTGTACTAAATTACAATATAATAAAATAAATATTCATTTTAACATTAAAAATAACGATTAAATTGGAGAAAAAAGTCATTTAATTTTAAATAATGATTCTAATTATTTATTTTGATAATTTTAGCCATATTGTTCTATAAAAGTTTTACTAAAATAAATATATAATAATTTTATTTCAAGTATATATGTATTTAATAATCTTAGTCCTATTGATTGTACTATAAAAATGTAACTGAAATAAATATATTATATGATATTAAATTATAATATAGTAAAACAAACACTCATTTTGATATTAATAACAATAGCTAAATTGAAAGAAAAATTAGTAACATAAAATTAAAAATGTTTCTAATTATTTAATTTTTTTTATTCATTTGGATAACAATATGTAGAAATGGAAGTTATAGACAATTTACTTTAAAAATTTAAATATAAGTATGTTGTGGTTAGATTAAGAAAAAATAGATAGATTAATTATGTTGAGTATTGATTTTTCTTTAATATCTATTTTTAATTTGTTTATATATATTATATATAATTATATATATGTATATAAAGTTTAAATTAAATATAAATTTTTCCTAATAAAAAATGCATATTAAATAGAAAACTCAATATAAATTAATAATCAAATATAAATACGATAAACAAAAAAAAATAAGAAATATATTGAATTTTAATAAAAGTTGAATACTCTAATACAAGTGAAAAAAGTATAAGAAAATTAACTCGTAAAGTATTTTTTAGTACACATAATTATTTTAAATTTTATTTATGGGTAGTTTAGATTAAGTAAAAAAATTTTAAATATGAGATTTTAGAAATAATTAATTATGAGGGTATGTTACACGGCACTTTAAAAATAAAAAATAAATAAAAAGAATAGAAGAGGGATATACTACATAGGAGAAATTTTTTTTAATAGAAGTGAAAAAAGCATAAGAAAATTAATTCGTAAAGTATTTTTTTAGTACATATAATTATTTTAAATTTTATTTATGGATAGTTTAGATTAATTAGAAATCTTTGCCATCACGGCACCAAACTACTAGGGGCGGTTTGGGGTCGTGACATTAGATTAAATAAAATTCTTTTAAATATTAGATTTTAGAAATAATTAAGTATGAAGGTATGTTGTGTGGCACTTTAAAAAAATAAAAATAAATAAAAAAACAGAAGAGAGATATACTACATAGGAGAAAAAAAAAATTGAGGGTAAACAAGTATATATAATTAAACTAGCCTATCGCCGGAAAAAAAAAATTGAGGGTAAACACTACTTTTGTATATATAATTAAATATAAATTAATATTAAGACATCAATAAGATAGACAAAAAAAAATTAAAAAAATATAAAAGAAAATTAATTTGATCTACATAATTAAGCACATTTTGTCTTATTTATTTATTTATTTGTTTATCAAGATAATTTTTTTCAAAATCATAATAATGAAATTATAATTATATATATGAAAAATAAGTATTTCTCAAATAGAATCCATATAACATTAGTTATTATAATTGAAATTGAATTTGTATATAATTTTATATGTTAATAGAAAATGTATGTTGATGTGAATTTTTTAGAAAAAAAGTAAACGTTTAGAATGTGCTACCTAACTAAGAGAAAAACACTATTTTTAATAATATATATGGCAGATATATGATTTACACAGTACTGATATCAATTCATGATAAAGAACGCTTTATTATTTATATCTCTTTAAGAAAGCAGCAATGCTAGGTATCATGAAAAACCTTTCATGAAAATAATCATGAAAGTTTTGTGACCTTTGGATTACACTTAGAATAAAGCATTACACACTAATCAAAGTAATTCAAGAATTATAAATTTTTCATGATCATTTTCATGACAAAATTTTCATGATCCCTAACTTTTCCATTAAGAAAGTAAACATTACTAATATTGGGGCACACAAACATATGGAAGAGAGCATGAAGAGCCTGCTCTACCCTTATTCCTAGTAAATTATTGCTCACGACAAAACATGAAAAACACACTTGAGAAGAAAAAAAAAACAACAACAACAACAAAAGCAGGACCATAATGATAGAGTTGGAAACTCAGATGTGGAGAAGGGGTTTAATGTCCAAGTCAATGCCCCAAAGGTCAAATTTTCCATTGACAAAATCATAGTGTCCACCCATCAATTTCAGAGTTCCCTTAGCCACCCTATCTTGCACATATGGGTAAGTGAGTAGGTTCACAAGTGACAAATTCACTGCCTCCTGCACATTGAATCAACATTGTAGAATTCATTATGGTTTCAAAAAAAAATACGTATATACCATGTTTACTCATATTTCTGAGGATGGATCTTGGCGCAACAGTGAAATTGCTCCACACGTAGGGTAAGACTGCTTACAATTGGTTTTTTATTTCTAGATATGTAATGACAAGAGTTTCGTGCATTGAGACAACCTAAAATCTGTTGATACTTCTATTTAGGGTTAAAACATTGACGTTTTCCAAAGTATGAGGTATGTGTCATTTTTATTTTTGATATATTTCTAACTGTGTGAATTTGGTCTTTAACTTATTCAATTTGTATTTACATGATTGACACGTTATTTTTGTCAAAATTTTATAATGGAAGCAAACGTGTTTTTGCCTAATTTTGGATGGAAATGATGCTAATGGACCATTTAAACACAAATTGGATTATTTAGAGACTCAAAAGATACAACAGAAATATCAAGGATTAAAATAAAACACAATGCATATTTTGAGGAACAATAGTGTATTTAACAATGTAAGTTATGCTACTTTCTAAGAGATTTTAGAGTTTTGCTAACAAAGCTATCTTTTCTTTTGAAATTCAATTTTATATTTTCTTGTTCTTTTCTCGAGAAAATTTTATTCTACAATCACCATGGTGCCAAAATAGAGAAACCATGTTAAGGGTAGGAGCTCACCCTTTCACATCTCGCGTATTTTTCTTCATCTTTTGGATCCGGAAGCTCGGCTTCGACCTTGGCCTTTGCTGGTAAACCAATCTTGATCCAGTCATGTATGAAGTCACTGCAGTTCACAAAGGAAATCCAATTTGAACATACCAAGAAAATTTACTAATTCATACATAGATGTGATCAAGAACATGTTTTTACAGCAAAACCATAAAAATTTGAAAGCATTTCTTATAGGAAAGCTACAATTTTCCCCCAAGCCACAACATGCCTAAGAGGCCTTACTTGGAAGTTGCCCCATCGGCGGGAAGGTCCATAAGTTCCTTAATCCCACCACATCGACGGTGTCCGATGACCAAAATGACCTCCACCTATCATGTAATTTTTCATTGTTAGAGCTCATGGGTATTGGAAAAACCAAGTAGACTTTGAGAATTTGTCGCTGAAAGATGCTCAAAAGCACTACTAGTTCTTTAAAAGATCAATTTGAACAAATTACTGCTTGAAAGATGTTTTATAGTGGAATTGCCCTCTTAAAAGATGAATCGGAGTAAATTACCCGTGAAATTAATTAAATGTAGTAATTTTCCCCCAACTAATTGTACTTTGAACATTTTTCATGAGACAATTTGTACTTTTCATCAACTTTCATGGGCCAAATTGAACTTTTGAAACATCTTTCAAGCGGTAATTTGTTGAAATTGATCTTTCAGATGGTTAATTGCATTTTTTTTAAGAGGCAACTTGCTCAACTTGATTTTAGATGGTCAATTATACTTTTCAACATCTTTCAAGTGCTAAATTGTCAAAAATCCCCTAAAAGCCACTGTAGATAAAGATTAAGGAGAGAGTTAATTGAAAATTTTAAAATATGAAATTTGTAGAACTTAAGACTTGAAACCGAAAACAAGGGAAAAATAGAAAAATAGTAAAATAGCCAATCAAAAGCCTAGAAACTAGCACGATAGTTACCCCAAGAGCTGTGACCGCATATTCAATGATCGCGCCAACTCCCGAGTATCTGACCTGTGCAACAAAGACAACGCTTCATTATCCATACACAATCAATGTGCAATACTATAAGAATTGACGACAGGATGATGTTTGAATTGAAACAGAAAATGAGTTAGGAGTGTTTGAATTTGGACCTTGTTAAATGCCGGGACCAAGTTAGCGATGTTACGAGCCATGAAAGCTTGTCCTGGTTTAAAGTCGAGGACACGAGATGGACAGACTCGGGAGTCTGAGCAGGCGAACACCAAAAACTACAATCGGGCGCAAATCAATACCCAAAAAAAATGAGAAATTTATCAATGGGATATGGGTTAGGAAAATGTGATTACTAGTTAAAAAAAACTTAACATACTTGGGGTTTCTGGCCTTTAGCAAGTTCTTCGAAATACTCAGGAAACTTGCTGCAAAGTCATCCAAAATCCCAGGCAATTTTGAAAACAGATTAGTCAAAGTAAAAGCATAAATAATAAATTGAAGTAAAATCAGATGATCCAAAAGTGCAAAATCATTGATCCGGTCATGCTTTTCCAATTATAGTTCTAGTTGATAGGCCTTGTTTAATTTAGAAGCTAAAAACATTTTTTTTTTTAATTAAGTCATATTTGGTCAATAAATTGTGAGGCAAAAATGCATCAAATGAGTTCAACGGGCAATGACTAGTTTCAAATGAGGTTAGGGAGATCATTTGGGCAGTTAAAATCTACGCAAGTCCAATTTAAGAAAATGAAAAATGGGTTCACCCCAAGACTTCATATGAGTCTCAAACCTACAACCATCAATATAAGGGTTAAAGAGTATACCATTGTGGCACAAGGTCATGATCGGTCTTACTGGTTATTGACATCCCGTTAAAACAATAATACTAGAACATATTAGTTTGTTTTGTGCTGAAATTTGTTAATTAAAAAGTAAAAATTCTTCCCCAACTTCTACATATCTATTTTTTTTTAACCAATACACATAAATTTCAAAATTTTTAAAAAGTTATAAAAATTGTAAAAATTACTATTGCATAACATACTCAAATTCAGTGGTCTTGAAGTGATAGAAACCCCTTCTAATGATTTCAACTGGGCTGCCCACATCAATCCTTCTCAATGCTGTTTCCTCTTTAAACTCATTGGCTCCATCCTCTCTGCAATCCAACATCATTAATTGCATTCAATTATCATCAGTAATATAAAAAAATAATAATAATAATCATAAGAATAGTGAGTTGGTAAAAATTGTGAAAATTCACTCATAGTCCCTATTGGTTTCCTTTTGTGTTAATTTGGTCCTTACAACTCTAATTGTACTAATTTTACTATTAATTTTTTTACATTGTGTCAATTTAGTTTAATTGATAACATTATTTTAGAAACTGAACTAAAATTAATAAGCAAAATAATAAATTCACTCTCAAAGAGATTGAGAGATTTAAATCCAATTTGAAATGATGAGTTTATTTTTTAATAAAACATTTTGCCCTTAATTTCTTAATAAGTGTTATCAAATGAACTAAATTAACAAAATGTGAAAAATTAGAGGATAATACAACTATAATTATAGGGACCAAATTAACAAAATAGACAAATTATAGAGATCACAAATATAATTTATCCTAAAAAATATTAAGCGTATTTTGGTATTTTGTAAAAACCTGTCTGCCTCATTTGAAAGTTGATCAGCCATTCGTCCCTCTTTTTTTCTGCATTTCATAAAATTTTGAACTATGTTACCCTTCAAATTTTTAATTCCACATAATTGTCACTAAGTGCTATTTTATTGTTGTTTGCTATAATAAATAAATAAATAAAAAGGAATCTTTAAGCGAAGACATTTGGACATACCTCTGATTAGAAGGATCTTCTTCACTTGGAGCCTTGGAGCCAAAGGATAAATATCTATTTGGAAAGGATTTAACACAATTCTTAGTATGCAATGCAAACCAAGCTCTTGCTGAGATTTGTATTTATAGGCCTACCATGAGTGGTTGATGTCATTGAACACATGACATGGGATCCAAAACATTTTTCGCAAGGATAATTCTTAAAACTTGTATATGAATGTACATAGTTGTATTTTAGTGAATATATATATAAGGCTATGTTTGGCATAGTTATTTGGACTAAAATAATTACATAGGATAAAATTCATTATTTTAACTAAATAAGACAAAATATTATATCTAAATCATAATCATTTCATTTTTTTCTCACAAAAGTATAAAAAAATAAATAAATAAAAACATATTTCAAACAAGACTTTTTAGTCATAAATTAAGTTAGTTAAAAAATTAAAAAGTCAAAATGTTAACTCATATCCCAACCAGAGATAATAAAACAAAAACCAAAAAACAAAAGGACCACCTTCCCAAGAAACATCCAAAGCGCTATATAAGCTCAAAACATGTTTTTTTATTTCTCCATGTTTGTGTGTTTTAGTGAATATATTAGGCCAAATTTCACTGTACTTCACGCCAATCATTTGTACATATTGTTCTATCATTTGAAAATAATCATTTCACCTTTGTGTGTTCATTGAGTGATTATATGTAGGATAAATTTCATTTTACTCTTGTCATATGCGTCATAATCTTACGTCCTTTGAAAATAATCATTTAACTTTGTAGATTGTGGATTATGGAGGCTTTTGGGAAGTTGGTAAAAAGTCAATTTCTAACTTTTTATCTATTTTGGATCGTATCACCTTTTACATAACTTACTCACAAAAAGATAAAATAAGTTTAATAAAAACAAAAAATCAACTTTTTACTAACTTTTCAAAACACCCCTAGAAAGTATCTAACATTATTTTATCGAAATCAACAGAAATTGCATTGCACATATCTATATTTTATATAAGCACATAATGAACATGAATTTGTAAGAGTTCGTTTGGAAAGTATGTTAGTTTTTAGTTTTTTAACTTTTTTTGAGTTAAAAAGTTTTGTTTAGGAAAGATATTTTGACTTTTTATGAGAGAAAGAATGTAATAATTATGGATTAAATATGATATTTTATCTTATTAAGTTAAAAAATTTATTTTATTTTTTTTTGAGTAAAATAGCCCTAAACCTAACCTAATCCTTCTTCCCAAAACGACTGCCAAAGTATCATTAAAAGGGAGGAAGATAAGTATCAATGTCATTTTATAAGTGTCATTAACAGAAGGTTTTTTTAACACACAAAAATATTTTCAAAATTTCAAAATTTATTATCTTCTTAAAAAAAATTATATAAAAATAATAATTTTTTTAATCGAATTAATTCTGAACTTTTTGTATAATTTTGTTCAAATATAAAAAATAAATAATAAATAAATAAATAAAAACCTCAACCAAACAAGCATTATCTCCAAATGATAATGATTATATATACACAGAACCTATATCACATCAGTGAGCAAAACAAAATTAGGGGAATTGTTTGCTAGTGGACCCAAAAAAAATTATAATAGAGGGTGCAAGTTGTTTTGAGGTGAGGTGGAAGTATACCTAAAATATTTAAAATATTATTTTTATTGGTTTGATGATTAAAATATTAATTTTTTATCGATTTTATAAATATTTAAAATATTATTTTTATTGGTTTAATGATTAAAATATTAATTTTTATCGATTTTATTTAATGAAAATAGACAAATATTTAGATTGAAAATAATTTAAAAATTTATAGTTTAAATTAATAAAATTAAAAATTAAAGATTTATTTTGTTATAAGGCTCATATCTTAGGATTTTTTTATTTATTTTTTTTGTAATTTCTCCAAAAATCTTTGGGAACTAGTTAAAATAGCTAAAAATTCAAAAAGTCACTACCAAAAAATTAAATTTTTTTTTACTTTTTTTACACATCTTTTTGTAAAAATTTAAAAAATAACTAAAATAGGTTATTCCTATAATAACCCAAGTCTTGCAACATAATAAATTATGAATTTTTAATTTTGTTAATTTAAACCCTAATGTTTTGAATTGTTTTTAATTTAAACCATTCACCTATTTTTATTAAGTAAAATTGACGAACAAAAATAATTATTTTAGTCATTAAACTCAATATAAGTGTATATAAAATGTCTAAAATGAAATTTTTTGTTGAGTTTAATAACTATAATACTCATTTTTTGTTAGTTTTACTTAACTAAATAAGTATATGATTTATATTGAAAATAATTTAAAATATTAATATTGATTAAATTGATAAAACAAAAAATAAAAAAAAAATATTTTATTGCAAGAATCAAACTCTATAATTTTTTTAAGGTAAATTACAAATGCACCCCTTAAGGTTTACTTAAAATACGAATTAATCTTTGTGGTTTAAAAAATTACGAATATTCCTTTTTATTTATCAGAATTAACTGAAAAAATAAAATTCTTAACCGCTCCTCTATACAATAATAAAATTACCTGAATTATTAATTGAAATAAATTTTAACATCATTAAAACCTACTAATTAATTTGATATTTTATTAATAAAAGAAACTATTTATTATGAAATTAAAATTTTCATGAGATGAGATGTTATTTTCAAAACTACAATAGACAATTTATATTTAAGCAAATTTCAAGATTGTAATTTACCATTTTTTTTTACATAGTTACCCTCCATTTGTTGGGTATGTTTTCTGTATTTTATAATATACAACAAAAATTATTATAAAATGTTTTTATAGCAAACAAAAAAAACAAATTTATTTAAGTAAAAAATATTTTTTTATCTTTAAGAGGTAAAAAAAAATACATTTTAAATAAAAAATTTACTAATATTATTATACCATTATCGTGACTTACACCTCTATCACCGTGCCATTGTCGCACCACGGCCATTGCTATCATCATCGTGGCCTACACCCTGCAGCCACCTCACCATAGTAGATGTGATCAAATTGTTGACAAACAGCAATACAAAAAAGTTATAAGAAAAATAATAATAAAATCAAAATATTACACCAAATAAGCATAACATACACATTAAAACTCCTAAATCAGGGATTCAAAACATTTTTGCCAACAAGGTAGTATCAAATATCAATGTCATTGTCTGCTACCGAAGAATAATTGGTATCAAATATCAATGTCATTGTCTACTACCTAAGCAGCGTGATTTCAATACGTATGTGAATTACATATTTTTATTAAAAAATTAAAAAATTATTATAAGTTATTATATTATTTTTTATTTTTTTATACATTTTTTCATAAAAATTAAAAAATTATTCAAATAGTCTATTCCCAAACGAGGCTTAAGCCTTCGTTTGGAATGTGGGTCGACTTTTTAATTTTTTAATTTTTTAACTATTTTAACTTGAGACTAAAAAGTTTCATTTAAAATAGATTTTTTTAGTTTTTTTTTACTTTTATAAGAGAAAAAATAAAATAATTATGATTTGAATGTGACATTTTATCTTATTAACTTTTTAATTTATTTTATCTTTTTAAAACTATTTTAGACTAAAAAATTCATGCCAAGCATCCTAATAAAAACATGCTTCTCTCCAGTCCACCCACAAAGTGGACTGGATAGTACTATTAAGCCTGTGAAATTTATTCATGGATTTTATTTTGATAATTTAAACCATTTAATATATAGATTTTGTTAAATATTTTATTCCTGTAAAAAAATATGTTGACCGAATAGCGATTGCCCTTGATTATATTATATTTCTTTTAATGGTAAATATAATTTTAAAAATAAATTATTAACAAAAAATGTATTCTAATTAAAAAGTTATCAATATCTAATCAATTTAATTTTTTGTAAAAATAAATTATTCGATAATATTTACCCATAAAACGATTGAAGAAACGGCTCCATATTAATGAAAATGACCAATAACCGTCCTTCCAAGCAACGGAATCATAATTTTTAATAGCTGTGATAAAAATAAAGTACAAAAACAAACACAAATCCTCATATCTCACATTTGTGATTGTTTTGTTGTTTCAAATTATATGTATTTATAACCCTGCTTTACAAAAATAATAATGATTAAAAAGGAAAATATTTAGGATCCTCACAATTTTTTACTCTCACAATCCTCAATTAATTTGTGATGAGTTTGGTTTGAGTTTGGGAGATGAGTTTTAGAGATAAAAAGTATGAAAAGTTGTTTGGTTTGGTTTTTTCCAAAAGATGTTTTGAAAAATTATTTTGAGAGAGAGTTTTGAAAAAAGTGATTGATTTGATGTGTATGAGAGAGAGATTTGTTTGGAAAACTTGTAAACTAAACAAGTTTTGGGAAATTTTTTTGAAAAAATTTGTTTGATTTGATTACTTTTGAAAACTTATTTGTAGAGAATTTTTTTCAAAAATTTTTGAGAAACACAAACCAAACAAAGCCTATGTTTTTTTTTTCTCTCTCTCTCCCTCTCAAATGTGTGGGGGGTGTGGGAGTGTTGGGAGTCTGTATCACAGTTGGATTAAAAATTGAATAATACTTAAGATTCTTAAAATTTGTAAACCCTACAATCCCTAATTAATTTATGACCGCTCATTATTTTTATTTTTATTTCCTCTCTCTCTCCTCCCTCTCTCTCACAAATGTGTGTGGAGGTCCTATCATTCAACATAAAGATAATAAAATTCACATTAACAAATATGCGCCGAATCTACTGCATTGTGTTTAGTGGTAAAAAAAAAAAAAAATCAAGTAAAAATATTATTTATATTCCATAATAGAGTTGGACTATTCTTCCGTCCACATTTGTATTGGAGAATGTTGTTTGGGTTAGTACAAGTAATATTTTAATAATTCAAATTATTTATTTTATAGAATATGTATATATATAATCTATAAATAAATAAATAAATAAATCGATTTGATAATTATAATCTCTTCATTTTATGTTATTTGTCTTAAGAAAAAAAAATGAACAATAAACATAACTTTTAAGTTAGACCGTTTTAAAAATATAAAAATAATAAAGTAATAAAAAAAAATTTATAATTATCAAATCAAAT